ATTTCTGTTGTTCTTGCCTTTTGACTACTGTGAAAAATGTTTCGGTAAACCCTGTCCTACATACAGGTTTCTATTTAAGGTTTTGCCTTGCCATCATTTGAGTATGCCTATAATAAATCTAGTATTGGGAGTGCATGGAATAATTCTATATTCAATTCCACTTCACCTCTCCCTTTTTTAAATCTTCAGGAAAATGCTGCCTTTTGGCTCCCTATTCCTATTTTTCATCTTGTATGTAGTCTTGTCTGTTGTTAGTCTGAAAGCTGAACTTTGAGATTTTTTGTTCCAGGTTTGAAGGTGATGAAGGGCTATAGGGTTCTACCAGTCTCTATTAGACAAAAAAACCTGGCCGTTTATAGGGTTTTTTTTGTTTCATTCCACATCATCTCTTACTCTACCTAGTATCTTCTACTGTGATCTCTTTTAGTATAGTCAGTCTAACTGGTCTCCAGGTAATGAAAGTTAAGTTTCATGAGACCCTTTAATCCTTTGGACTGACTAATTGTTTCAGTACATCTTTGTTTGCCCCATTATTCTTTGTTCTGTGCAGGAGAGACCAATTACTGCTCACTAGCTTTTTTAACACCTAGTCAGTACTCATCACAGTAGTTTGTAGGATATTGTCTTTGTGAACTGTATTGTGCCATTTGACCTTGATGTCTCCTAGTACTGTGATCCTAAGGCTTCTATTTTTGAGAAACCACCAGACTGCTTTCTGGAATGACTTTTCCATTTTATTCACAACCTTGTCAACACTTACTGTTTACCATTTTTTTTTTAAATGATTGCAGTTCTAATAGGGGTGAGGTGCTATCTCATAAACAGAGTGGAGTAATTGTCAGACAGGTATCACTAATGTCACACACAAGCAAAATCATGCTGAAGACTATCCAAAAGAGACTGAACAGTACATTGACAGAGAACTATCAGAAATAAAAGCTAGGATTGGAAGAGGCCATGACACTAGAGACAATATATATTAAAGCTAATGTCAGATGGATCTTGGCTGAAAGCAGAGAGTACCAAAGGAATGTCTGTGTTTAATTGACTGTACAAATGCGATTTGACTGTGTGGGTCACAACGAATTGTGGCTAACCTTGAGAAGAATAAAAATCTCATAACACTTGATTGTCCTTATGCAAAACCACAAAGCAATCCTCAGAACAGAGCAAGGAAGCACTGCATTGTTCAAAATCAGGAAGAGAGTGCTTCAGGGATGCATCTTTTCTCTGTATCTTTTCAATCTTTATATGGAACATACTATCCAGGAGACTGGACTTTATGAGGAATGTGAATAGCAGCAGGACTGAAGGAAGATTCAACAAAAGATTGTATTATGCAGATAATACAGTCTTGCTTACCGAAACTGAGCAGAAACTGAAGCATTTGCTGCAGAAGATCAAGGACTGCAGCAGTCTTGAATATGGATTGAAGCTCAACTTCAAGAAAACAGTGATTCTCATTACTGGGCCAATTGGCAGTACCATGATAGATGGAAAAGAGATTGAGATTGTTAATGATTTCAGCCTGCTTGGTTCCATAATCAACACTCTTGGCACCACTAGTTAGGAAACTTAATGAATTGCATTGGGAAAATTGGCTGTTGGGAAGCTCTTCAGAGTGCTGAAGAGCAATGATGTCAGCAGTCTAGAGGCTAAGAGGCACACCATGGTCTTCACAGTTACTTGAAATATATGTATCAGTCACTGGATCAGTGACTAAGGATAACAGAAGAAGAGTCGATGCCTTTGAATTGTGGTACTACTGGAGAAGAGTATTGAACAATTGAACATAACACGGACTTTAAAAAGAACAGACAGGGGGAGCTCTGGTGGCCTAGTGGCAAGAAGGTACAACTACAATCCCAGAGGTGCGTGGTTCGAATCCACCAGATGCTCTGCCGGGGAAGGAGGGGCAATCTCCTCCTGTACCAGTCAGATCTGATTTGACGGTACACGCACACAAAAAATAAAAAAAATTAAAAAAAAAAAACAAAACAGACAGATCTGTCCTGGAGAAGGTGAAACCAGATTACTCTTTGAAGGCAAGGATTTTAAAGCTCCATCTCACATACTTTGAGCATGTTGCTAGGATGGACCAGTCCTTGGAGAAATATATCATGCATGGAAGGGTAGAGGGACAGTGCAGGGAAGGAGACCCTGGTTAAGATAGATTGACACACAGTAGCTGGAGTAATGGGACTAAGTGTGTTGGAGACAGATTAGCTCAGGACAGGGCAGATTTCAGAGCTATTGTGCATAAAGTCACTATGAATCACAGATAGCTCAGTGGCATATAACAATAACATTAATGGCTAGTGAAGGAGTTCTGGTGATTGCTGCCAATTTTACTCTTGGAAAAAAGTTGAGCAATTCTAATCCACTGGCTGCTCCTTGAGAGAAAGTTAGGCAGCGGGTTTGGTTTTTTGTGTTTTGTTTTTTGATTTGTTTGGGGTTTCTACCCCCCACCTCCAATGGCTAGTGATCTGGAGTATCTTTTCATGTACTTGTGGTTGTTTGAGTATTTGAATATCTGCTTTAGGTCTTTTCTGTTTTGATTTGTTGTTTGTCTTGTTGTTTTTACTGCTAGTTTTGTGTGTGTATTCACACACATATTTTTTATTTTTAACCTTTAGTACATACATAGTTCCTGAATGTTTATCCAGTCTGACATTTGTCTTTCATATGGTTGATAAAGTTGTTTGACGTATAAAAATATTTATATGAAGTCTCTCAAGTTGTCTATTTGTCTTTTGTAGCTAAAGCTTTTGTTACTGTATATTACAACCTATTGTGAAACACTGGGTCCCTTCCCTTTTCTTTTTCGTCTAAGCATTTAATGGTTTTAGTTGTCACACTTAGGCTCTGCATCTATTTTTAATTGATTTGTGTGTATGGTATTGAAAGACAAGGTTGTATGAAATGATTTCTGGACTTTCAATTCTATTCCATTGCTTTGTGTATCTATTATACCAGTACTAGACTGTAAAAATGGTAGCACAGCATCAGATTTCCTCTTCTAACTTTATAAGAGGGAGTAGAAAAAACCAAGAACATCACTATCAGCCCAAGTATAATGATTTTTATGATTTTCAGACATACCTCTTCCTCTCTCTAACCTAACCTTTTACCAGTTCTTATACCAGCTGTCTTTCCCGCAACAATTTGCTTCTCTCCTGCGTTCAATAATTTATTGTACAGATCATGCCTACAGTTAGGAGGTTTATTAGAGTTGTTAACTCAGGATAAGAATCAAAAAGTTACAACTCAGGATCAGGATTAGGAAGCATGTAGTCTCCTTCATCAGTTCAAGACACCTTTTCAGTCACTTTCAGCCAGTGGGATTCCTCTTAGCTCCCTCTCAGGACAAATCTCATCTCTGTCCTTTTCCTAGCCTCCTTTCTGTTTTTACAACTACAGAGCTCTTTTTGCTGATAAGTAAGTACCCAGAGCCAGCCACACAGTTCTGCTAGCAGACCCACTGTGTGAAAGTAAGGTGCTCCTCCCTCTAACTCAGTGAGGGTTCTCTGGTGGCTTAGTGGCAAGAAGCTGCACTGCAATCACGAAGGCAGGCGGTTCGAATCTACCAGATGCTCCACTGGAGAAGGCAGGGCAGTCACCTCCTGTGCCAGTCAGATCTAATTCATCAGTACCCAACAAGGAGGAGAAAACAAAAACAACAAAAAAAAATTTAAAAATTTAAAAAAAAAAAATCAAACAAATGAAACAACAAAGCTCTGGCTCAGTGAATCAACATGCTTACTATTCCTTGCTTGGTAGGCCAGAAACCTACTATATCATCTCATGCAGTCTTCTGCTGTTTATTTGCAATGGAATTCTGTCATGTTTGCCATTTTTGGTGTCATAGCTCTTTCTGTCCCTTGGGTTTAAGAAGTTCTCAGTACAAGAACCCTAGATCCAAAAAATGTGGTGTTTGAGTAGTGAAGTTCCTACTTTTATCTTAGGCTTTTGGCTCCCTTTAAGCCTAGCAGGATAGCAAAACTGGCAGTTGTTTTGTTACAGTTTTATATACTTTATTTGCATGACCTCACCCCTCACTGGGATTCTGTGCATCTTATATGCGTTATCAGCAAGGCTGTCCTATCCTCTTGGGGGAATCACCACTCCCTATTTGCATAGTTGTGCTCATTCTTTATATGTAAGTAACAGAGACAGTGGCTAGGAGGACCCTGTTAAGTGATTCACTACACCTCATAGGCTAACTTAATTACTATAATAGTTTAGTTAAGGATAATCGTTCTTAAACAATGTATTTCAAGTTAAATTACATCTTGTTCTCTAAAGCCAGGCCACTATTAATTAGCAAAAGTAATAATGAATTAAAGTGGAATAATTTAATGTTACAATATACTCAGCAGTTTTAATGATAGAGCTAAAATGGGGACAGAAACAACACACTATTACTATAGTAGTTTCTTAGTCACTCAACATTTAAGAACAGTATTTTGACAGTTGGCTACATAGGCAGGGTCATGCTATTTTACAGTCTATAAATCTAGTTTTATAAAATAACAGTTGATAACATAGCACATATGTGTGAGTAATTTAATCTGTTAATGTGTAACTTTTGTATTATAGAGATATAACAACCCACTATTTTCACAAAATTCAATTTTAATCATGGCACCCAAGCTTTTGAATCAGACGCTTTACCATAGTGTTTGTAATTAAGGAATACAATTTACAGCTTACTCCAATACAAGCACAGTGGGAGAGAAATGCTATTCTTTATAAATGAGTTATAGCTAATAAATTGCTGTATTTTAAAAGAAGGCTTAAAATGACTTTTATTATTTGTCTCCTTGGCTATAATTTTTTTTTTCTCGTGAGAGCTCATTTTATGTATAACTTAATATAGTTGTCTGCATGAGCAAACACTTAATCATCATGATAACTGAAGTTCCCTAGGTATATTATCTTAAAATTTTATTTCTTTGTATTGGCAGTAGCAATTCTTACTTTTGATCTTGTTTTTATAGTTATAGATGTGAGTATGCCATGCTCACAGGATATACTTCGAATGCTCCTTTCTCTTCAACCAGTTCTTCAGGATGCTATTCAGAAAAAAAGAACAGTAAGGCCTTGGGGGGTTCAAGGTCCTCTCACTTGGCAACAGTTTCATAAAATGGCTGGCCGAGGCTCTTACGGTAAGAGAGTTAATAATAGTAATGATTTTGTATCAGTCCTTATGTTTCTGTGCCCAATAAGAATTTCTTCATAGATTTTCCCTAAACATTTTTGTGACTTATACTTGACTGAATGCCAGTATCTATCTTTACATATTGGTCTCCCGGTAAGATTGTATATTAAGAAAAGGTTCTGCTGCATAATTTTTTTTTAAAGGCTAAAAAAGTATTTCGTTGTAAAGTTTGAGAATAGTGAGGGATAATACTAATGATACAAAGTCCTGGAAATAGAGAAAGGATTTAAAGTAAAGATAAAACTTTGTGAAAAGAATAGCAAATGAATTGTGTGGCACACAGTGGATTTATGGTCAACTTGGTCAACTGCGATGAAGTCCCTGGTTTGCACAAAAGGTTACTGTACTCAAGAGCTAATTGGAAGATTGGAAGTTCGAGTCTATCCAGAGCACATTGGAAAAAAGGCCTCTCTGGTCTGCTCCTGAAAAATCAACCACTAAATCAGTTAAGTGTGTAGTTCTACTATGACAAATACTGGGTCACAAGGAATCAAAATTTATATACTGGCAGCTGGTATTAGGAGTGATTGAAAGAACAATCAGAGTACTTAATATTTATTTCAAATTACCCCTAAAAGATTGAGTTTAATTAAACTTTTAAAAATATGTTTGGAGGAGTTCTTAACAGTTAAGTGAGACTTCTTTATATGGTACAGAATGTATTAAGCACAGCAGCAGTACATTTAAAAATTAAATTAACAATTAAATGAGACTTTTTTTTGGATGATGATTATTCACAGAGGTAATATACTTAAAAAAATAAGATTGCTTTCTTTCCTTTATGGATATACTTCAAATTTCTTGTTGGTTTTTTTTCCTTCTTCTCTTTCACACCCACACGTACACTCACACCTGTCCCTTAATTAACATTTAGTGAAAAATACAGGTTACAATAATAGTTAGATTGTTTTACATTTTCACTTGAAACTTTTATAGTGTTTTTGAAACCAAAATAGTAGTGGACTGCACATTCATCTATTAATGAAAAAAAAATATTAGATACACTGTCCTGCATTTCACTGAATTTAGCTATCATTTTAATCAATGCATAAAGAGCATTTTTTTATTTCTTTAAAATTTATTTCTTATATAATTGTGTTTCACACTGTCCTTCCTTCACATTGTGTGAATACAATCATTCCCATCAGTTATGTTTTATAAAAATAATCACCACTGAACTATTTCCACCATTAGCCTAAAAGTTATAAAACATTTTTAAATAAAATGGTTGCTGTATGCCCTCCTTTTCATATATGATAGTTTATCTTAACAGTCTCCTGTTTTTAGATACTATTTCTCAGTAATACAAATATCCTTAGGTTAAAGCATAAGTATTTGTGGAATTTTTAATATTGCCTGATGACTCTCTACATATCAGTTTAAATTTTGACCACTACAGTTTCTCAAACCCCTGTCACTGAGTGCTAAGTACATGAATGAATATGGTTTTCTTTATTGTTTGGTGGGAGAATGCATAGGCTATGATGCCAGATTTCCTAGGCTCAAAGTCTAGTTCTGCCACTATAATACTGTGCAAGTTACTCAACTTACCTGTTTCCATTTCCTCATCTCTTAAATAAAGTTCATAATTAGATCTACTTTATATGGGTTTTCTAAAGAATAATGAGTTAAGAACTTTGACTATATAGGACATAGCACAAAATAAATACAATTGTTTGCTGTTACTACTACTTTTATTTTGACTTATGAGTTGGAGCATCTTTTTATGTATAAGATACACATTATTTCTTGTAAAGTCAGTATATGTCCTTTATCTAATTTTAAAATTAGGTTATTGATAATTTTTTAGGGATTTATAGGTCCCATTTATGTGTTTTAAAAAAACCCCTTTTGTTAGTGCATTGTAAATTTTTTCTAATTTCTTTATATTATGAGCTTTATAATATTTAAATTTATATAGTCAACTTATTTATTTATTTTTGTTATGATGAAAAATAATTATTAACGCTTGAGACTTAAGTAAAAAGACTATACATCCTGCTATTAATTATTTTCTTACATCTTTTTTATATAGGAACTGATGAATCCCCAGAACCACTGCCAATCCCCACATTTCTGTTGGGTTATGATTATGAGTTTCTGGTGCTTTCTCCATTTGCTCTTCCTTATTGGGAGAGACTTATGCTGGAACCCTATGGATCTCAAAGAGATATAGCCTATGTTGTACTGTGTCCTGAAAATGAAGCCTTGTTAAATGGAGCCAAAAGCTTTTTCAGAGATCTTACTGCAATATATGAGGTAGGCTTTCTTAAAAATGAGTGATAATTTTAAAACTGCCATATGATTTGTATTTATGCTTGGTCTTTTTGGTCACTTGCTATGCATCTGAGAGCTGGACAATTAATAAGAATAACAGAATTGATGACTTTGAGCTGTTGTGTTGGAGAAGAGTACTGAATATCCATCCCATGAACTGCCCAAAGAATCCATCCTGTGCATTGTCAAAAGAGCAATATGTCCTAGAGAAAATGCAGCTAGAGTGCCGCTTGGAGGCAAAGATAATAAAACTTCATCTCTCATACTTTGGGCATGTTTCTAGGAGAGGGTATTAATTGGAGAGGATCCTCATGCTTGGAAAGATGGAAGGTCAGCAAGAGAGGAAAACTCTCAACCAATGATTGCTGCAATAGGTTCAAGTGTGTCAGAAAGTGTGAGGATAGCACAGGATAGAACAGAGTTTCAAAACAAGGGAAAGCATTGTTACATACCTAGGGGAAAAAATATCATTTATAAAAATTTAGTCCTGGTTCTTTATGACATTAGACCTCAGTTGCCTCATAAGAGATTCTTAGCTAATCTTTTGAATTGGGATTCTTCAGTTGGATACATCCTTGCGTTCTCAGTTCGAAGTTAGAAGTGCTGTGAAAGATAAAATTCATCTTACCCATCTTTTCGCATAAATGCTAGAGGATCCAATCTTTAATTTATTTTATAGTCTGAATTTTCAATCTGCATTAGTTTAGCTTCTTAGTAATTTTCCACTTAATTACAAAGTATGTGTAATATGTGTTATCTGAATTAACAATTCCCTAAGAATGGCTTAGAGAAAATGTAACCAGGATGCTCCTTATTGATGCTCCTGAAGGATGGTGAAACGTCATCTCCCTTGATTTGAACATGTTAAGAGGTGCAGGTTCTTGGAAAAAGACAACATTCTTTTGTTGTTGTTGTTGGTTTTAATTTTTTCAGTCTTTTTTAAAATTAATTTAATGAAAATTTAGAGACTTTGTGTGTGTGTGTGTGTGTGTGTGTGCGCGCGCGCGCGCGCGTACCGTCAAATCAGATCTGACTGGTACAGGAGGATATTGTGCGTCCTTCTCTGGCAGAGCATCTGGTGGATTCGAACCGTGTTCCTCTGGGATTGCAGTGCAGCTTCTTGCCACTAGGCCACCAGAGCTCCTCTACAGAGACTTTGAATTTCCATTCATTCATTGTTATACTTTTCTCCCTGCCCACTATGCAGTATTTGTCCCTTTGTGACTGCGATATTTCACTCAGCATAATGTCCTCCAGGGTCACCCATTTTGAATAATCTTGCATGAGTTTCTTGTTTTTCAATGCAGCATAGTATTCCATTGTGTGAATATACCACAGCTTCTCTATCCATTCGTTTGTTGATGGGCACTTGGGTTGTTTCCAGCTCCTTGCTATCATGAACAAAGCCGCAGTAAACATGGGTATGTGTATATCTGCTTGGGTGGGAGTTATGGCCTCTTTGGGGTATATTCCCAGTAGTGGAATTACTGGGTCAAATGGTATCTCTATTTGCAACTTTTTGAGAAAACACCACACTGCCTTCCGTAGTGGTTGCACCATTTTACACTTCCACCAGCAGTGAATAAGGGTTCCAGTTTCTCCACAACCTCGCCAGCATTTTTTGCTTTCTGTTCTGTTAAATGTTGCTATTCTGTCTGGGATGAGATGATATAGTTGTTTTGATTTGCACCTCTCTTAGAGCTAGGGATTTGGAACATTTCTTCATGTGCTTATTGGCCATCTGAATGTTTTCTATGGTGAAGTGTCCATATTCTGTGCCCATTTTTCAATTGGATTGTTTACCTTTATCTTGTGGTGTTCAAGTATTTTATAAATTCTAGATGTAAGTTCCTTATCTGACATATCATTACCAAGTACTTTTTCCCAGTCTGTGGCTTCCCTTTTACCCTGTTGGAGAAGTTTTTGGATGTTCGTAGGGAAGACAACAGTCTCGTGGAGGGTAAGCATAAGCGAGTAATACTCTCATCAAAATAGATTGACACATCCTCCTGTGCCAGTCAGATCCAATTTGACAGTGCAAAACAAACAAACAAAAAAAACCAAAAAACTGACCACCAAACCCAAAATAGATTGGGCTCGAGTGTATTATATCTTGAAGATGGCACAGGTTAGGGCATCAACACTTAACAACAAGATGTTGCATAAAAGAATAGTCCTGCAAAATGCTTCCAGAAAGAATTCTGTAGTTAATATACAATCTGTCTTTAAGTTTATTTATTATTTTAGAAATCACTGGTGTTTTTTTTTTTTTTTTATTTTTTTTTTTTTATTTTTATGTGAGTGTACCGTCAAATCAGATCTGACTGGTACAGGAGGAGATTGTCCCTCCTTCCCCGGCAGAGCATCTGGTGGATTCGAACCGTTGGCCTCTGGGATTGTAGTTGCAGCTCCTTGCCACTAGAAATCACTATTTATATAAGATTATTAAACATTTTGTGAGGAAACCTCCTGTGTAGATTTGCTTAATCTCTTGTTGCAATTTTTTTCTTTTTTTTTTTTTTTTACATTGAGCTTCTTGGAGCAAATATCAGTGGTTCACAGAACATACGTTTGGGAACATTGACAGATACAACTGACCATCCTTAACTGTTTCCCAGTTTTTTTCCTAGTGGATATATATTGGTTTAGATGTACAGCTAACATTAGTCTGTAAAGCAGTTGTTCAAACAAAACAAGAGGATACTACATGGCTTAAAATCAGGAAAGATCTGTGTCAGGGTTATATATCTTCTAAGCATTTAATCCAAGAGACTAGATTTCATGAAAAAGAAATTTAGTGTCAAAATTAGAGTAAGACTTCTCAATAGCCTCCTACGTACCAGTAACATAAACTGGCAAAGCCTATAGCCTTCAGTATGGATTATATCTCAGTTTAAAGAAAACAAAAATATTTACAATTTGACAAATACAGATCATAATAAATGGATAAAGATAGAAGTTGTTTAGGAATTATCATTTCATCTATAATCAACACCCAGTGGAAAGTAGCAGTCATTCCTGAAATCAAACAAAGTTACATTGGGCAAAGCTTCTGTCAAAGACCTCTTTAAAATACTAGAGTAAGAATGTTCTTTTAAAGTGTACGGTGCACCTGTCCAAAGTCATGGTAATTTCATATATACATACTCACATGAAAGTTGGACAGTGAATACAAAAAACTGAAGAATTGATGCCTTTGAATTGTGCTTTTGGCAAAGAGTATAGAATATACCTTAGATTGCCAAAAGAACAAACAGATCAGTCTGGAGTGTAGCCATTTTGCTCTTTCACAAGGATGACAAGGATGGAGAGACTTGGTTTCACAGATTTGGGGCATGTTATCAGGAGGGAGCAGTGTCAGAGAAAGACATCTAAAGTAGAGAGTCTTCAAACAAAAATGGATGACTATCAGTGAGATGAATTGACTTAGTGATTTCTACAGTGGACTTAAAGCACAGCAGAGTTTGTGAAAATTACTCAAGATTTGGCTAGAGTTTCTTCTCTTATATATAAAGTCATTATGAATTGAAGTGGACTTGACACTTTAATATGCTGTTCATTTTAAAATGATTATCGTTTTATGCCCACTTATTTCTGTGTCTCCACTTGATTGTCATTTTGCCATACTGTGGTGGCTTTTGTATTGTTGTTAGGTGGAAACTATGCCATTGATATTTCAAATGCTAGAAGGGTTACACATAGTAGACAGGTTTCCACTGAACTTCCAAACTGAGACTGAAGCAGGAGGATGGCCATCTGCTTTCAAAAGAATGTGCCCTCAAAAACTGTGTGTATAGCAGCAGCAAGACATTGTCTGAGATAGTTCCAGAAGATAAGCCCCTCCCTCAGGTTGGAAGGCACTGGGGGGGGGGGGAATTGCCTTCTCATCTTAGCCCAGTAAGAATAGCAAAATGTAGCAGAACAGCAGACAACAGATGCTGACAAGGTTGTGGAGAAACTGGAACACTTATTCATTGTTGGTCGGAGTATAAAATGGTGCAACCGCTATGGAAGACTGTATGACGCTTTCTCAAAAAAGGGGGGGAGGGGTTTGTGCGGGGAGAAGGGTGCAACAATGAATGAATGGAATCCCAAAATCTCTGTAGGTGTTCATTGAAATGAAAAATAAACAACCTAAATTTAAAAAAAAAAAGTTGCAAATAGAGATACCATTGGACCCAGCAGTTCTACTACTGGGAATTTACCCTAAAGAAACCATAAATGCCACCCAAGCAAATATATACACACTCATGTTTATTGCGGCTTTGTTCGCAATAGCAAAGAGCTGGAAAGAACCCAAGTGCCCATCGACAAACAAATGGATAGAGAAGCTGTGGTATATTCACACAATGGAATACTATGCAGTATTGAAATACAAAGAACTCATTAAGTATTATGCAAAATGGCTGACCCTGGAGGACATTATGCTGAGTGAAATAATCTCAGTCACAAAAGGACAAATATTGCATAAAATGGGGCTGGCATCAGGGTTGAGGGAAGTCAGAAAAAGAGGGGAGGAATGATGTATATTGCATTGAAACAGATGAGGGAGAGAACTGTTTAAAAGGAATATATGAATGGGTACTCTTGTCATTACAGAAGTCCAGAGTGAAGGCTGAATAGTGGAGTGGATTTGAGGGAGAAGGATTGCTTAACAGTGAAAGAGTTTTTCTCTCCTTTCAAGGAGAAGAATGAATTGGGGGGATGGGTAGGGAGAAAAGTGCAACAATGAATGACTGGAAACCCTAAGTCTCTGTAAACTTTGATTAAAATGAATTTAAATTTTTTAAAAATTAAAAACCATCTGAAAATGGAGTAAACAATAATGACTAAAGACCAGACAAGTTGTGGGAGGACATCATACATGATGAAAGCAAGAGGTCATTGAAAAGAAAAAAAGACCAATATTTCTGCTCTACAAGTTTACTTAGACAAAATTATCCTTATTAGAATATTATTAAAATAATTTTGAGTGTTTGGGTTTATTTTTAGAAGAAAATGCACAAATCATACTGGTTTTTTATTTGATCAAATAGACATTTTGTTTTATAGTAGCATTATTTGAGTATTTTATTTTCATTAGAAATATTTTAATTTTTAAGGGGAGTTCTGGTGGCCTAGTGGCAAGGAGCTGCAACTACAATCCCAGAGGCACGCGGTTCGAATCCACCAGATTCTTTGCCGGGAAAAGGAGGGACAATCTCCTCCTGTACCAGTCAGATCTGATTTGACGGTACACGCACACAAAAAATAAAAAAAATTAAAAAAAAAAAACAAAACAGACAGATCTGTCCTGGAGAAGGTGAAACCAGATTACTCTTTGAAGGCAAGGATTTTAAAGCTCCATCTCACATACTTTGAGCATGTTGCTAGGATGGACCAGTCCTTGGAGAAATATATCATGCATGGAAGGGTAGAGGGACAGTGCAGGGAAGGAGACCCTGGTTAAGATAGATTGACACACAGTAGCTGGAGTAATGGGACTAAGTGTGTTGGAGACAGATTAGCTCAGGACAGGGCAGATTTCAGAGCTATTGTGCATAAAGTCACTATGAATCACAGATAGCTCAGTGGCATATAACAATAACATTAATGGCTAGTGAAGGAGTTCTGGTGATTGCTGCCAATTTTACTCTTGGAAAAAAGTTGAGCAATTCTAATCCACTGGCTGCTCCTTGAGAGAAAGTTAGGCAGCGGGTTTGGTTTTTTGTGTTTTGTTTTTTGATTTGTTTGGGGTTTCTACCCCCCACCTCCAATGGCTAGTGATCTGGAGTATCTTTTCATGTACTTGTGGTTGTTTGAGTATTTGAATATCTGCTTTAGGTCTTTTCTGTTTTGATTTGTTGTTTGTCTTGTTGTTTTTACTGCTAGTTTTGTGTGTGTATTCACACACATATTTTTTATTTTTAACCTTTAGTACATACATAGTTCCTGAATGTTTATCCAGTCTGACATTTGTCTTTCATATGGTTGATAAAGTTGTTTGACGTATAAAAATATTTATATGAAGTCTCTCAAGTTGTCTATTTGTCTTTTGTAGCTAAAGCTTTTGTTACTGTATATTACAACCTATTGTGAAACACTGGGTCCCTTCCCTTTTCTTTTTCGTCTAAGCATTTAATGGTTTTAGTTGTCACACTTAGGCTCTGCATCTATTTTTAATTGATTTGTGTGTATGGTATTGAAAGACAAGGTTGTATGAAATGATTTCTGGACTTTCAATTCTATTCCATTGCTTTGTGTATCTATTATACCAGTACTAGACTGTAAAAATGGTAGCACAGCATCAGATTTCCTCTTCTAACTTTATAAGAGGGAGTAGAAAAAACCAAGAACATCACTATCAGCCCAAGTATAATGATTTTTATGATTTTCAGACATACCTCTTCCTCTCTCTAACCTAACCTTTTACCAGTTCTTATACCAGCTGTCTTTCCCGCAACAATTTGCTTCTCTCCTGCGTTCAATAATTTATTGTACAGATCATGCCTACAGTTAGGAGGTTTATTAGAGTTGTTAACTCAGGATAAGAATCAAAAAGTTACAACTCAGGATCAGGATTAGGAAGCATGTAGTCTCCTTCATCAGTTCAAGACACCTTTTCAGTCACTTTCAGCCAGTGGGATTCCTCTTAGCTCCCTCTCAGGACAAATCTCATCTCTGTCCTTTTCCTAGCCTCCTTTCTGTTTTTACAACTACAGAGCTCTTTTTGCTGATAAGTAAGTACCCAGAGCCAGCCACACAGTTCTGCTAGCAGACCCACTGTGTGAAAGTAAGGTGCTCCTCCCTCTAACTCAGTGAGGGTTCTCTGGTGGCTTAGTGGCAAGAAGCTGCACTGCAATCACGAAGGCAGGCGGTTCGAATCTACCAGATGCTCCACTGGAGAAGGCAGGGCAGTCACCTCCTGTGCCAGTCAGATCTAATTCATCAGTACCCAACAAGGAGGAGAAAACAAAAACAACAAAAAAAAATTTAAAAATTTAAAAAAAAAAAATCAAACAAATGAAACAACAAAGCTCTGGCTCAGTGAATCAACATGCTTACTATTCCTTGCTTGGTAGGCCAGAAACCTACTATATCATCTCATGCAGTCTTCTGCTGTTTATTTGCAATGGAATTCTGTCATGTTTGCCATTTTTGGTGTCATAGCTCTTTCTGTCCCTTGGGTTTAAGAAGTTCTCAGTACAAGAACCCTAGATCCAAAAAATGTGGTGTTTGAGTAGTGAAGTTCCTACTTTTATCTTAGGCTTTTGGCTCCCTTTAAGCCTAGCAGGATAGCAAAACTGGCAGTTGTTTTGTTACAGTTTTATATACTTTATTTGCATGACCTCACCCCTCACTGGGATTCTGTGCATCTTATATGCGTTATCAGCAAGGCTGTCCTATCCTCTTGGGGGAATCACCACTCCCTATTTGCATAGTTGTGCTCATTCTTTATATGTAAGTAACAGAGACAGTGGCTAGGAGGACCCTGTTAAGTGATTCACTACACCTCATAGGCTAACTTAATTACTATAATAGTTTAGTTAAGGATAATCGTTCTTAAACAATGTATTTCAAGTTAAATTACATCTTGTTCTCTAAAGCCAGGCCACTATTAATTAGCAAAAGTAATAATGAATTAAAGTGGAATAATTTAATGTTACAATATACTCAGCAGTTTTAATGATAGAGCTAAAATGGGGACAGAAACAACACACTATTACTATAGTAGTTTCTTAGTCACTCAACATTTAAGAACAGTATTTTGACAGTTGGCTACATAGGCAGGGTCATGCTATTTTACAGTCTATAAATCTAGTTTTATAAAATAACAGTTGATAACATAGCACATATGTGTGAGTAATTTAATCTGTTAATGTGTAACTTTTGTATTATAGAGATATAACAACCCACTATTTTCACAAAATTCAATTTTAATCATGGCACCCAAGCTTTTGAATCAGACGCTTTACCATAGTGTTTGTAATTAAGGAATACAATTTACAGCTTACTCCAATACAAGCACAGTGGGAGAGAAATGCTATTCTTTATAAATGAGTTATAGCTAATAAATTGCTGTATTTTAAAAGAAGGCTTAAAATGACTTTTATTATTTGTCTCCTTGGCTATAATTTTTTTTTTCTCGTGAGAGCTCATTTTATGTATAACTTAATATAGTTGTCTGCATGAGCAAACACTTAATCATCATGATAACTGAAGTTCCCTAGGTATATTATCTTAAAATTTTATTTCTTTGTATTGGCAGTAGCAATTCTTACTTTTGATCTTGTTTTTATAGTTATAGATGTGAGTATGCCATGCTCACAGGATATACTTCGAATGCTCCTTTCTCTTCAACCAGTTCTTCAGGATGCTATTCAGAAAAAAAGAACAGTAAGGCCTTGGGGGGTTCAAGGTCCTCTCACTTGGCAACAGTTTCATAAAATGGCTGGCCGAGGCTCTTACGGTAAGAGAGTTAATAATAGTAATGATTTTGTATCAGTCCTTATGTTTCTGTGCCCAATAAGAATTTCTTCATAGATTTTCCCTAAACATTTTTGTGACTTATACTTGACTGAATGCCAGTATCTATCTTTACATATTGGTCTCCCGGTAAGATTGTATATTAAGAAAAGGTTCTGCTGCATAATTTTTTTTTAAAGGCTAAAAAAGTATTTCGTTGTAAAGTTTGAGAATAGTGAGGGATAATACTAATGATACAAAGTCCTGGAAATAGAGAAAGGATTTAAAGTAAAGATAAAACTTTGTGAAAAGAATAGCAAATGAATTGTGTGGCACACAGTGGATTTATGGTCAACTTGGTCAACTGCGATGAAGTCCCTGGTTTGCACAAAAGGTTACTGTACTCAAGAGCTAATTGGAAGATTGGAAGTTCGAGTCTATCCAGAGCACATTGGAAAAAAGGCCTCTCTGGTCTGCTCCTGAAAAATCAACCACTAAATCAGTTAAGTGTGTAGTTCTACTATGACAAATACTGGGTCACAAGGAATCAAAATTTATATACTGGCAGCTGGTATTAGGAGTGATTGAAAGAACAATCAGAGTACTTAATATTTATTTCAAATTACCCCTAAAAGATTGAGTTTAATTAAACTTTTAAAAATATGTTTGGAGGAGTTCTTAACAGTTAAGTGAGACTTCTTTATATGGTACAGAATGTATTAAGCACAGCAGCAGTACATTTAAAAATTAAATTAACAATTAAATGAGACTTTTTTTTGGATGATGATTATTCACAGAGGTAATATACTTAAAAAAATAAGATTGCTTTCTTTCCTTTATGGATATACTTCAAATTTCTTGTTGGTTTTTTTTCCTTCTTCTCTTTCACACCCACACGTACACTCACACCTGTCCCTTAATTAACATTTAGTGAAAAATACAGGTTACAATAATAGTTAGATTGTTTTACATTTTCACTTGAAACTTTTATAGTGTTTTTGAAACCAAAATAGTAGTGGACTGCACATTCATCTATTAATGAAAAAAAAATATTAGATACACTGTCCTGCATTTCACTGAATTTAGCTATCATTTTAATCAATGCATAAAGAGCATTTTTTTATTTCTTTAAAATTTATTTCTTATATAATTGTGTTTCACACTGTCCTTCCTTCACATTGTGTGAATACAATCATTCCCATCAGTTATGTTTTATAAAAATAATCACCACTGAACTATTTCCACCATTAGCCTAAAAGTTATAAAACATTTTTAAATAAAATGGTTGCTGTATGCCCTCCTTTTCATATATGATAGTTTATCTTAACAGTCTCCTGTTTTTAGATACTATTTCTCAGTAATACAAATATCCTTAGGTTAAAGCATAAGTATTTGTGGAATTTTTAATATTGCCTGATGACTCTCTACATATCAGTTTAAATTTTGACCACTACAGTTTCTCAAACCCCTGTCACTGAGTGCTAAGTACATGAATGAATATGGTTTTCTTTATTGTTTGGTGGGAGAATGCATAGGCTATGATGCCAGATTTCCTAGGCTCAAAGTCTAGTTCTGCCACTATAATACTGTGCAAGTTACTCAACTTACCTGTTTCCATTTCCTCATCTCTTAAATAAAGTTCATAATTAGATCTACTTTATATGGGTTTTCTAAAGAATAATGAGTTAAGAACTTTGACTATATAGGACATAGCACAAAATAAATACAATTGTTTGCTGTTACTACTACTTTTATTTTGACTTATGAGTTGGAGCATCTTTTTATGTATAAGATACACATTATTTCTTGTAAAGTCAGTATATGTCCTTTATCTAATTTTAAAATTAGGTTATTGATAATTTTTTAGGGATTTATAGGTCCCATTTATGTGTTTTAAAAAAACCCCTTTTGTTAGTGCATTGTAAATTTTTTCTAATTTCTTTATATTATGAGCTTTATAATATTTAAATTTATATAGTCAACTTATTTATTTATTTTTGTTATGATGAAAAATAATTATTAACGCTTGAGACTTAAGTAAAAAGACTATACATCCTGCTATTAATTATTTTCTTACATCTTTTTTATATAGGAACTGATGAATCCCCAGAACCACTGCCAATCCCCACATTTCTGTTGGGTTATGATTATGAGTTTCTGGTGCTTTCTCCATTTGCTCTTCCTTATTGGGAGAGACTTATGCTGGAACCCTATGGATCTCAAAGAGATATAGCCTATGTTGTACTGTGTCCTGAAAATGAAGCCTTGTTAAATGGAGCCAAAAGCTTTTTCAGAGATCTTACTGCAATATATGAGGTAGGCTTTCTTAAAAATGAGTGATAATTTTAAAACTGCCATATGATTTGTATTTATGCTTGGTCTTTTTGGTCACTTGCTATGCATCTGAGAGCTGGACAATTAATAAGAATAACAGAATTGATGACTTTGAGCTGTTGTGTTGGAGAAGAGTACTGAATATCCATCCCATGAACTGCCCAAAGAATCCATCCTGTGCATTGTCAAAAGAGCAATATGTCCTAGAGAAAATGCAGCTAGAGTGCCGCTTGGAGGCAAAGATAATAAAACTTCATCTCTCATACTTTGGGCATGTTTCTAGGAGAGGGTATTAATTGGAGAGGATCCTCATGCTTGGAAAGATGGAAGGTCAGCAAGAGAGGAAAACTCTCAACCAATGATTGCTGCAATAGGTTCAAGTGTGTCAGAAAGTGTGAGGATAGCACAGGATAGAACAGAGTTTCAAAACAAGGGAAAGCATTGTTACATACCTAGGGGAAAAAATATCATTTATAAAAATTTAGTCCTGGTTCTTTATGACATTAGACCTCAGTTGCCTCATAAGAGATTCTTAGCTAATCTTTTGAATTGGGATTCTTCAGTTGGATACATCCTTGCGTTCTCAGTTCGAAGTTAGAAGTGCTGTGAAAGATAAAATTCATCTTACCCATCTTTTCGCATAAATGCTAGAGGATCCAATCTTTAATTTATTTTATAGTCTGAATTTTCAATCTGCATTAGTTTAGCTTCTTAGTAATTTTCCACTTAATTACAAAGTATGTGTAATATGTGTTATCTGAATTAACAATTCCCTAAGAATGGCTTAGAGAAAATGTAACCAGGATGCTCCTTATTGATGCTCCTGAAGGATGGTGAAACGTCATCTCCCTTGATTTGAACATGTTAAGAGGTGCAGGTTCTTGGAAAAAGACAACATTCTTTTGTTGTTGTTGTTGGTTTTAATTTTTTCAGTCTTTTTTAAAATTAATTTAATGAAAATTTAGAGACTTTGTGTGTGTGTGTGTGTGTGTGTGTGCGCGCGCGCGCGCGCGTACCGTCAAATCAGATCTGACTGGTACAGGAGGATATTGTGCGTCCTTCTCTGGCAGAGCATCTGGTGGATTCGAACCGTGTTCCTCTGGGATTGCAGTGCAGCTTCTTGCCACTAGGCCACCAGAGCTCCTCTACAGAGACTTTGAATTTCCATTCATTCATTGTTATACTTTTCTCCCTGCCCACTATGCAGTATTTGTCCCTTTGTGACTGCGATATTTCACTCAGCATAATGTCCTCCAGGGTCACCCATTTTGAATAATCTTGCATGAGTTTCTTGTTTTTCAATGCAGCATAGTATTCCATTGTGTGAATATACCACAGCTTCTCTATCCATTCGTTTGTTGATGGGCACTTGGGTTGTTTCCAGCTCCTTGCTATCATGAACAAAGCCGCAGTAAACATGGGTATGTGTATATCTGCTTGGGTGGGAGTTATGGCCTCTTTGG